TCAGACCTGCCCCCTGAAGTCCATATTCCTGCTTGATACCTGTTTGATGGGGTTCTGGGATTTCCTCTACTCCCCAAGCCCGGCCCGAGGCCAGGCTTGACTTGTGAGAGTTTGGTCCACCAGGCTGTTGCTTGGAGCGGTCCGCAGGCCCACATACCCACCACAGCCCGGTTGGTCCGGAACTTCTTTTAGAAAACAGTCAAGTTTTTTCATGAAGATGTCCACGGTTGTTCCGGCCAAAATGTCAAGAAGATAACATCAGCGGCATATGCCAGGTTGACTAAATAAGAACGGCATTTAGAAATTTGTTTAAGGAATCATTCAGAACTTTGTATACCACATATGTCAGACCAGTCCTGGAGTATGCAGCTCCAGCACGATGTTCATATCTAGTCAAGCACAAGACTAAACTGGAGAAGATTCAAAGGTTTGAACCTTGGTGTACCTTCGAGTACACCAGACTAGTACCCGAGCTGAGAGGTATGAGCTACGAGGAGAGACTACGGGAATTAAACCTCACGTCGCTGGAAGACAGAAGAGTTAGAGGGGACATGATCACCACATACAAGATTCTCAAAGGAATTGATAGAGTAGATAAGGACATGCTATTTAACACAAGGGGCACACGCACTAGGGGACACAGGTGGAAATTGAGTGCTCAAATGAGCCACGGAGATATTAAAAAGAACTTTTTTAGTGTCAGAGTGGTTGACAAATGGAATGCATTAGGAAGTGATGTGGTGGAGGCTGACTCCATACACAGTTTCAAGTGTAGATATGATAGAGCCCAATAGGCTCAGGAACCTGTACACCTGTTGATTGACGGTTGAGAGGCGGGACCAAAGAGCCAGAGCTCAACCCCCGCAAGCACAATTAGGTGGATACAATTAGATGAGTACACACACACACACACACACACACACACACACACACACACACACACACACACACACACACACACACACACACACTTACATACAAACACACTCAAACACCTCGTTTATACCTTAACTTATATCTTGCTCTAACAAGCACGTAGCTGCAAATTGACCGTTCCTGATAACGCATTCTGCCTCTGAATAATTTACCCCCGCTGCTTGACACACCAGTGGCCAACACTTGGCCCGGGGACGCTAAAGCATTCCTCTCCGTTTTGTCCTGGTATATCACCACTGATCACAGAGTATGCTGCGGGTATAACGCCGCACACCAGTATGGGAAGCAATTGATTATGCTCTCGCACTCTCTCTCTCTCTCTCTCTCTCTCTCTCTCTCTCTCTCTCTCTCTCTCTCTCTCTCTCTCTCTCTCTCTCTCTCTCTCTCTCTCTCTCTCTCTCTCTCTCTCTCTCTCTCTCTCTTCTCTCTCTCTAGGTGAGTACCACACACTCATACATTTTATATATATATATATATATATATATATATAATATATATATATATATATATATATATATATATATATATATATATATATATATATACACATAATAAACACATAATATTATATGTATGTGTATGTGTGTGTGTGTACATATACATATATATTTACGATCTGAACTAGGACCTTTAAAATACGAGGCCGTCACTGTAGCGACCAAGACAGGATGTTTACAACAGAAATTGCGTCTCGGTAGGTGGTTAACTGGACCTTAATCGGACTCTGTGAACCTTCCTTTGGAAAGTGTTAAGTGACATAGTGCGGAGCGGCAGGGAGTAGTGTGCGTGAGTGACATGTGAGTGAATGAGAGCCTATGAGGGTGTGAGTGTGAGTGAGTTACACGTGAGTGCGAGAGGGTGTGAGACCGGGTTTCTATCAACACTCTTCATAGGTAGATTTGAAACGAGTCTTTTACCTCACCTGGCACGGCAAGAAGCCAAATGGAGAATGACGCTCAGGTCGACTAAAGTCTAGTCGAAGCAGCGACAGCTCAGCGTGGGGTTAACAATACACCGTCTCTGAGGGCTTCATTCCCGATCAAGATTCTACTCGAGTTAGCGTTTGTTCAACGAAATGGAACCTGTAGTATGCATGCGATAAGAGAGAGAGGTGGAGGTAGCGCAGGAGATCTCCAGCAAACACAGGAGACTCCTAAAATCGTCGTACGTCGATCCAACGTATCCCGGATCGTGTTATGTTCAAGAGACACTTCTCATTTGAAGAAATAGCTGGAGACCTGGACGAAGCTCTGAGATAAAAGGCATAAGTACACAATATTTCTTGATTTAAAAGATGCCTTTGATATTGCTAATACGGAAGTGATTATGTATGAATTAACAAGAATGGATATTGGTGGACAATTATTGGTGGTCAAAAGAATTAATATTGCTGGATATTGGTGGACAAAAGACAGTATTGAACGGAATCTTGATTTATTAAATAGGTCCCTTAAAAGTGTCATTAGACGAGAACTCCTGGAGGAATTAGAAAAAATTGAACGGTGCAAATTGGAACTAGGGGGTCCATTGTTTATCACAATGAAATGTGTGAAGTAAAACATGTGTATGTATGGGGCAAGTAACAAAGTAAGTAGACTAACAGATGTTGTCACAGCTCGTATCAGACTTGGCTACAAGTATCTTTGGCGGTTCAGTTTGTATAGGGATCTAGATGAAATAAAGTGAGTGGACAAAGACAGGGACACACACTCAAACACAATATCTTGGTAGTAAAATTGAGCCATTTAGAGATAAATCTAAGCTCACGCTGTATGATATGACAACTTATCTTATTACCAAGGATAAAATACCTGAAATCCTTTGCACTTTATCCATATTTCGTTTCCAGAAGATAAACGACATATGAGATTAAAAAACAAGTAGTGTATTGTGAAGACTAATAATAAACAAAAGCTCCCCTATGACTGTAATATCTCCACTGCTCAAACAATTATGTATTAGCGATAAGACCTACCATTAATGTATAATGACTTACTGTATATATATTGCTCATGAAATAGAAAATTCTCTGTAACTAGCTGACATTGTACCTATAAGGTGTGAAGGATAGACAAACTTGTTTATGTAATAATCTAAGATGAAGTCTGATAAAGACCTTTTGTGCCCTTTGTAATACTTTTTGCGCTACCGCTCACGGGATGGGTATGGGGTGCACAATACACTATCCGCCTCCGGTGGCGACAATCAAATCAATGCTCCCGATGTCAACAAGATCATCTCTGCTGGTGATGTTCACATAACAGCTCTGCACTCATCTATCACAGGTGAACTCCAGGTTGTATAATGTCAACGGTAAAGTCTCCAAACCCAGCTTACCCACAAACCCGTGTAACCCACTAACATATATAACCACAATGCCAGGTAACCCAGTAGCCACTACTATCTCCAACCCCTATACATCTGCCAACGACTGAATTACGATTCTATCTACTAGGCGTATTACGTGTTTGCTCGTCTTCAGCGATATTGGAAACGTTCTTGCCAAAATTCCTATTAACATCACTCCCCTCACATAATTCTCCATCCCCCTATCAGCTCGTCTTGGTTGGACTATATTCAGGAAATTACACTCTCGTTCTTGAATAGATCCTGTCGTTATTAGAGGTAGCTCATCGCAAAATTTCGTATCACTGTGTCACCTTCCAGATTATAAAAAATAATCGCATCGCCTTCCAGCGCAGTCACGACAACACAACCAATCTCTACCGGATATCTAGAGGCCGAGATAACGTCACACACCATCATAGACGTTGTGATAGTTGTGTGTGTGTGTGCGTGTGTGTGTGTACGAGTGCGTATGCGTGCGCACGCAAGTGTGTGTGTGAATAAATTGACCAAGCAGTCAACTGTTCATTACAACTCAGAAACATTACGAATAAATTGCTTATTGCTTTAATAATTGAAAACTGTAATTAAAAGCCCTGACATTTTTTATTTAACAGTCTGTACAAATATCACAGCATGAACATATCGTTTAGTGGATATGAATCCCGGATTTTGGGCTGGAAAAGTATTTATTATTTATATATTTAAAAATAACTGTATTCATGTATAATGTACATGTATTACACACATCAACAGTACTGTACAATAATACTCTATATATGAGACTATTTTTGCATAATGTAATTTGTTTTACATATAATATTTTGGTGGTCGACCCTGCGATCGACCACCAAAAATAAGGTCGGTCGACCCGGTCAACCCCCAAAAATTGTGCCATTCAGGTGTTGCAAGCCCGAGAATTCAATCCTGACTTCAAAACATGTACATGACATGTCAGTGTCTGAATTCTGTAAAAAATGATGAAAAATTATACAAGTCTATGGACTTTGCACCGAGCATTTCATCTCAACCGACTTCACGTAAGGATGCCATGGGGGCCAACGTTCCCCTGAAGAGTTAGGGAAGGTGGGAGTGTGCAATTGAGCCTACTCCAATATGTCTATGATAATACCTTTAAATTCGCCAGTTACTACACAACACGTGTCTGCAGGCCTCTTAAACACAGACAGACGGACGGACGGACATCCTACTTCCTTAAATTGGATTAACGGAGACTCGAGCACACAGCTCTCAAATGTACGAGGCCGTAGTTCGACCAACCAGACCAGGGGACACCCACAATAAGGAAGGATCTCAAAGGAACCTAACTGGTACCCAACTGAGACATTAAACCTTCCGTGGAGCACCACTAAGATAGATGGAGGATTTTTGTCTCCCCTTCATCTTTATTATCTTTATGTCCTTATTTCATGGCATTATATTTCCTTCATTCTATCTCCCATCATTATATATACCCATCATTATATCTCCCCATACTATTTCTCCCCTTATTGTATATTCCCTCATTCTATCTCCACTTATTCTATCATCCCCCATTCAATTTGAGGCTACAAAGACTACTGAGGATAACGAGGCAACTGGAATTACACAGGCTACTGATATTACAGAGCCAAGAAATAATACAAAGACTATTGATATTACAGACGCTACTGATATTACATAAGAAACTGATATTACACAGGCTACTCATATTACAGAGGCTTTTGAATTCAGAGAGGTAACGAATATTACAGAGGATAAAGATATTACAGAGGATAAGGATAGTTCAGAGGATAAAGATATTACAGAGGATAAGGATAGTACAGAGGATAAAGATATTACAGAGGATAAGGATAGTACCGAGAATAAAGATATCACAGAGGCTATCAATACTCCCGAAGCTCTTTAGGCTGCAATAGCTGTAGAGGATATCGAAGCTACAGAAGCTACCAAAACTACCATCGCTACTGAGGCATTAGATCTACACTTCTTAACTCTACATTAGCTCTACACATCTTAGAGGGGAAAAAGAAGATTTACCGCGCAGAATTAGTGGTCAATAAAGTCGGGAACAAGAAGCTAACTACCCAGGATGTCGCTCCTGCTGACGAAATGTCGAGACGACTGAGTGAATTGTTTTTTTTGTTTCCTCTTTAACGTCGACCTTCCTATATCCTTCAGTGATTGCAATGGCCCAATTGGCCTGGGCATACAAACCAATTATTTCTGCTTAGGGGTCTCAGTGCTATTGCCAATAATTCGGCATGACAATTGGGTCTCCAATTAGTGCTTTTCTTTCGACTATATTCATGGAATTACATGAAGCTCGACTGTTCTCCAGCTTCATCCCTAGCACTGCGGAATGGCTTCACCGATGACCTTTCAATCAATTCATCACTTTGACGGGAATAATTGCAAGGAAATGGAAAGGCACAGTAATCTGCAAGAATCCTGCTTACAAAAATACCTGTTTTATTTTACTTTTTTAGCTTTCACAATGATATTAGGATGATAGAAGATATAGTGATGAGGTATTCATCATTGGAAAGAAAGTAGACGTAATCACGTATGCAGATGATGAGTCACAATAACGTGGCTTAAGATCTGATGAGTAAACCACACACCAGAACCAAGCACCAGAACCCCACACCAGAACCACACACCAGAACCACACACCAGAACCACACACCAGAACTACACACCAGAACCACACACCAGAACCACACACCAGAACCAAGCACCAGAACCATACACCAGAACCACACACCAGAACCACACGCCAGAACCACACACCAGAACCACACACCAGAACCACACACACAGAACCACACACCAGAACCACACACCAGAACCACATACCAGAACCACACACCAGAACCACACACCAGAACCACACACCAGAACCACACACCAGAACCACACACCAGAACCACACACCAGAACCACACGCCAGAACCACACGCCAGAACCACACACCAGAACCACACACCAGAACCACACACCAGAACCACACACCAGAACCACACACCAGAACCACACACCAGAACCACACACCAGAACCACACACACAACACGTTCGTAATCAAGTACATCTATATCTTCTGTCCCTATGTTCAAAGTCGCCATACAGGGGGAGTTTACCCTGTAGTAATTGTGACAAAGCTGACGTTGATAGAACTGAGAAACATTGATGAACTTACGACTTACCATCGTAAGTCTACCTGTCGGGTCGATAGCACTTTTATCCCGACACAGAAACCCAAAACAGCACCTAGTCAACTCTAAGGACACAAAAGCATCCTCGTAGAATAAAATAAAGTCATTAGCTAAGCGTGTACAGAATCCTCAGCCATCAGACACTTCGATACTGCTGAACAGAATCTATAACACGTCAGCATCGTCATTCATGTTGATGAATCAATGCGTCACAAGTATGAGTTACATAACATCTCATCTTGAAGATTTCGCTGCATGTTCCCCAGACCATCTTCGTGTACAAGCATTTCACCTTCACCTTCCTGACCTCATCCGACCCTCATAACTACCTCACAAATACCAATAATAATTTAAAAATCAAATTCAACAACACAAATTAACAATGTTGACCAGACCACACACTAGAAGGTGAAGGGACGACGACGTTTCGGTCCGTCCTGGACCATTATTAACAATATTAATTAACAATATCAATTAACAATATCAATTAACAATACCAATTAACACTTCCAATTAACAATACCAATTTCATCACTAACAACCACCACCATAACACTGAAACACGCGATCAAGCGAGCTTCTAACAACGAGATACCAGCAAGTAAACTTTGATCCAAGTCAATTAGAGTTGTTTATACGGCAACTGTACCAGCCAGGCACTAAACATGAGCTTGTGCACTGTTTGTTAAACGCATGACTGAACAAGCACCAAACCCACCCCCCCTGGCCTTGTATATTGGCTGCAGAATGCGTGACTGTCGAGCATATGTGAATGCTAAACTGAGAATTTCGCGAGCATAGCCAGTTGTGAGTGTGTGTGTGTGTGTGTGTGTGTGTGTGTGTGTGTGTGTGTGTGTGTGTGTGTGTGTGTGTGTGTGTGTGTGTGTGTGTGTGTGTGTGTGTGTGTGCACTCACCCAACTGTATTCACCTAATTGTGCTTGCGGGTGTTGAGCTCTGGCTCTTTGGTCCCGCCTCTCAACTGTCAATCAACTGATGTACAGATTCCTGAGCCTACTGGGCTCTATTATACCTACATTTGAAACTGTGTATGGAGTCAGCCTCCACCACATCACTGCCTAATGCATTCCATCTGTTAACCACTCTGACACTGAAAAAGTTCTTTCTAACGTCCCTGTGGCTCATTTGGGTACTCAGTTTCCACCTGTGTCCCCTTGTTCGCGTACCATCCGTGTTAAACAGTTTATCGTTATTGCTCTGTCAATTCCTCTGAGAATTTTGTAGGTGGTTATCATGTCTCCCCTTACTCTTCTGTTTTCCATGGACGTGAGGTTCAGCTCCTTTAGCCTTTCCTCGTAGCTCATACCTCTCAGTTCCGGAACGAGTCTGGTGGCATACCGCTGAATCTTCTCTAACTTTGTCTTGTGTTTAACTAGGTATGGACTTCAGGCTGGAGCTGCATATTCCACGATTGGTCTGACATAAGTGGTATACAGGGTCCTGAACGATTCCTTACACAAGTTTCTAAAGGCAGCTCTTATGTTCGCCAGTCTAGCATATGCCGCTGATGATATTCTTTTGATGTGGGCCTCTGGGGACAGGTTCGGTGTGATATCAACCCTTAGATCTTTCTCTCTATTTGACTCTTACAGGATTTCACCTCCCACATGGTACCTTGTGTTAAGCCTCCTGCTCTCTTCGCCTAATTTCATTACCTTACACTTTCCTGAGTTGAACTTTAGCAGCCATTTTCTAGACCATTCCTCCAGTTTGTCCAGGTCATCCTGTAGTCTCTGTTTATCTTCATCCGTCTTGATTCTTCTCATAATTTTTGCATCATCAGCAAACATTGAGAGGAACGAGTCTATACCCTCCGGAATATGATTTACACATATTAGAAACAGGATTGGTCCAAGTACAGAGCCCTGTGGGACCCCGCTGGTGAAATCTCGCTACTCTGATGTCTCCCCCCTCACCGTTACTCGTTGTTTTTTATTGCTTAAGTACTCCCTTATCTACTGAAGCCCCTTCCCTTTTGCTCCTGCCTGTTGCTAAAACTTTTTTAGCAGCCTTTTATGGGGTACTGTGTCAAAGGATTTCTGGCAGTCCAAGAAAATGCAGTCGGCCCACCCTTCTCTTTCCTGCCTAATTTTTGTTGCTTCGTCATAGAATTCTATTAAACCTGTGAGGCACAATTTACCATCTCTGAACCCATGTTGGTGGTGTGTTACAAAGTTATTTCCCTTCAGATGCTCTACGAGCCTTTTCCTCGCGATCTTCTCCATCACCTTGCATGGTATACAAGTTTGGAAACTGGCCTGTAGTTCAGTGCCTCTTGCCTGTCACCCTTCTTGTATATTGGGACTACGTTAGCTGTCTTCCAACTTTCTGGTAGGTCTCCTGTTTCCAGTGACCTGTTATACACCATAGAGAGTGGCACACTTGTGTGTGTGTGTGTGTGTGTGTGTGTGTGTGTGTGTGTGTGTGTGTGTGTGTGTGTGTGTGTGTGTGTGTGTGTGTGTATGTGTGTGTGTGTGCGCTCACCTTGATGTATTCACCTAGGTGAGCTTGGCGGATTACCCATCAATTACAGTTGATGGTTGAAAGTCCCGCTTTTCGACCATAATCGGTTAAAATGCAGTGAATCTTTCTTCGCTGCATTTTCGGTTTTCTTGTCATATTCACATTTAAAGTTGTGTATCGAATTGCCTTCGACAACTTCCTCGTCAATTCCGATCCACTTGTTTACTGTTCTTAGACCGAGGGAGTTCTTTCTGACATCCCTGTGACACATCTGTGTTTCCAGTTTCCAATTATGTCCTCTCGTTCTACTGTTTCTTAATTGGAACATTGCTTCTATGCCTACTTTGCTAATCCCACTAAGTATCTTGTACTTCGTTATCATGTCTGCCATATTTCTTCTTTCCTACAGTGTAGTGAGGTCCAGTTCTCTTAATTTTTCTTCATAGCTCAGGCCCCTTAGCTCAGGAACTATCCCTTTTGCATATTTTTAACCTTTTCTAGTTTTGCTTGGTGCTTCTTTAGGAAGGGGGTTCCAGTAATAACTCTCACAAATGATGTTTACACCTCAAAAGGGATCTTTGTCTAAGTTCCTAAAGGATCTCCGGACGTTTTATCATGGCCGTGATTCTCAAGGATGAACTGTACTAAATTGCATTCATTAATCTCGTTTTCTCCCAAGTTAATGTCTTAATTAGCTTAACTTTGGGCTGCACGAGGTAGAGAGATAAAGTGAGTGGATGTGAAGGAGTGTGTATTAAGTAAGAACGTGCAAGTGAGTGCCTGTGTGTTTACTAGTTGTGTTTTTACGGGGGTTGAGCTTTGCTCTTTCGGCCCGCCTCTCAACTGTCAATCAACTGTTTACTAACTACTTTTTTTTTTTTTTTTTTTTCCACACCACACACACATCCCCCAGGAAGCAGCCCGTGACAGCTGACTAACTCCCAGGTACCTATTTACTGCTAGGTAACAGGGGAATTCAGGGTGAAAGAAACTTTTGCCCATTTGTTTCTGCCTCGTGCGGGAATCGAACCCGCGCCACAGAATTACGAATCCTGCGCGCTATCCACCAGGCTACGAGGCCCCTATGTGTAGGGGCCCCCACACATACCCCTATGTGTATGTGTGTGTGTGTGTGTGTGTGTGCCAGAATCATGTCAAAAAAGTGTATAAACACACACACACACACACACACACACACACACACACACACA